GATAAGAAAAATTTTCTTTTCTAAAATCTTTTTTTGCAGTGCATGAATAGCGATAAATTTTGAAGTTCAATTTCGAATAAAACAAAAAGATTACAATTTTGGAAAATTTACAGGTTTTTGCAATTTTCACTTGTTACAATTATTGCATCATTTTTGTATGTTCGTGATTAGCATAATTAAAATTACAGACCCGTTGGTATACATATAATTTATCCAGATTTTATGAACTTCATTTCATCGATTCGAATTTCGGATTCCGAAGGCTAAAAGCTTAGCATTAGAAAAATTGCACGTTCTGGTGCGGTTTCTGCTAAATATTTTGTGAAAATGCGATTTTACAGCGCATGTGCTATGACAAAGTTTAAATTACACTAGATTATCTTTAAATTTAGACTATCCGAAGGAAATCGGGAGTGGAAAGTAAGGGTTCCCTTGTTAGCCAAGATATTTGTTTTGATTAAGCCGGCATAGTGTTTATTATAGTTTTAAAGGTTATTTGCTAGCTTAGGTTATTAAATAAACCGTTGCCAACGAAATGTAGCAAAGGGGTGAAAACACACGAAAATTTCCTTGGGGCACAACCACATCGTCTTCCAATACTTTCCCGTCATTTCCCCAAATTGTCTCACATTGCCCCATGTCTCATTTAGCCCCGTTTCGCCATAACTCCCGCGTACTTTGAACGTATACCTTTCGATAGACACCCCACATGGCATAATTCAATTTGTCGACATCTGGCTTCGTCAACACGGTCACACGGTCATGACACGTCCAAGTAATGTCGACCTAAAAATACGTCTAAAACAGTCGAAACCAAAAATTCGACACCTATTCGACACGGCGTCATGACCATGGCGCCGTGACCTTAATACCTACAACGCCCAACTTCTCACTCATCCGTACTTCAAACATTAGAAATACTTTGGCGAAAACCGCATGTCGGAATTCGCATCCGTTCTAAAGTTATCGTGGAGGCAGACAGACGGACAGATGGAGAAGACATTCCCATAAATGGGTTTTCACCCCTTAATAACGGTTATTTTATTGGACTTTTTTCGACTTTTTTTCCCGACAAGTATGTCCACACGGTAAAAATCATCTTCCGCGGCCACTGCTCCCAGGCTTAAGGTGTATCCCACCAATTTTAAAAATGAGTGATGTTTCGTAATCAAAATTTCATTGGCTTTCCAAAAATGTAACACTTGTTTTCATATAAAGGGATAACTGTTACTGTTTAAGCTTGTCTTGGTTTTCTTATCGTATACCAACAATAAGTAGGTCTAGTTATTAAATCAAAAAGTGTTAAAAATAGTTGTCTCCGGAAGATATTGAATCAAAGACCTCCAGACCAACAAAAGTTGGTCACACTAACCCCTGCCCTGAAGTTATGATGCATAAAACATTGTTAACCTAACCAAACCCCCTTTTGTATGTTTGTTTATTAAACAAATATTTAGGATACAGATTGATGACAACATCGACGAATTGAGTGGTTTGACATCTCTCCGTCGATAAAATAATTAACCATCGGACAGATTGACAGCTTCATTTGCGAAAACATGACAACTTCATGATCATCACGTGCCATTTACGTGTGTGTGGATTTTCCACACTGGAACCCAACACATAAATTTGCTCACGAGTGCAATTAATGTTTTAAATACTACATAAACAGTTCCATAAATAGCTCCTTCATCCCACTCTATTCCGTCATTAATTTGGCAAGGATGGTGTGTGTGATGACATCGCCCAACCTTCGTTTCTTACCAATTGCACGTGATGTTTTTGCAATATAATTATCAGGTAAATAATTGATTGACATTTTAATTAGATATGTCAAGAGGCAGAATGGAATGGAATGTTTGATAAGCAAATAGTTTACTTATCATACAGTATAAATACCTGCACAGTCCGTAATTGCGCTTTATTTTGTTGCCAATAATTCCAATCAACTCGACACGGAGAATCCAGAAGTTTGTAAAAATGCTAAAAGTCATAATTGCCGTTTTGTGCATTGCTGTTGGGATGGGTGACGCATTCCCACACCAATCCGTCTCCGTTTCCCTCAAAAACGCTACTGCGTCCCTTTCTCAAGGTTCTTTGGCAATTGGAGGAATTACTGATTGCGGCGTTGCCCAACTTGCCGATGTAACTCTGAGCGGCTGCACTAACGCCATATATACAGATTTTCGTGTTAACGGGTACAGTCAGTATTTTGGTTCTGAATGGCATGCATACGCTCATCTTCGCCACCGGTCTCAGTTCGATGAAGAAGGCTTTCGTCTTTACATTCGTGCTGGGATGGTCGACCGGATGTACGCTTGCGTTTCCAGTGATGAATTCTGCTCAGCCATTGGTAGACTTGATCAACATGGTGACACACTTTGAGCTGGGGTATTTCGAAAAATTGGGTAAGTCAGGTGTATCGGATACAACAGATTGCCTGCCCAATCAGCAAACATGTCGTACTACGTCTTAAAAATACGTCATTAGGATGTTTCAATGTTATATAAGATGTCATGAAGACGTATTTTAGGCGGACATAGAGAAATTACGAGGATGTCCTTAGGACGTAGTACGACGCATGGCTGATTTCCACTGATTATGTTGGAGTTGGCAATGAAAAGTAAGGATTTAATTTTCGTGATTTGAACAGAATGTTCCCCAGAAGTGATTCGGAGTGGCAATTCCGAGTACGAATGTGCAGCTGGGCAGGAACCGTGTGTTCGGTGGTCGTTCGGTTCACAGAATATGCAATCGTGTTGTACGAATCTAAAATTCCGACGTATCTTGGATCTGTCTCGGTAAACTTGGATTCCAGTTGGACGCACTTGGCCATCTATGGGCTGTCCTTGGTCTTTCAGGCCTTCATGGTTACAGCAATTCCAGTGGCCTTCGCAATAATGATAGGACCAATATGTGCTGGAATTTTGGTCTCTATGGCGGGATATCTGGCCTGTTTGAAGAAGTAGGTTTACGAGCAAATTATTCAAATCTTAAACGAATATTATGTTAATTTTTGAGCAACTTCCGGTTTTATCTCATTATTCGTTTATTAATATTAATTTTTGTTTTTAACTTAATATTCTAACCCTCGGTATAAAAAATTCATTCCATACTTCTTTAGGGTCTTCAAAACTATGAAACGCATTGATAGCCTATCGATCAGTCTGAATCTCTGTGAACAACTCTCCGTACTGAGAAGCCAGATCCTGTGTTTCCGCCAGTTCGTTCTCCCTGCAATTCTGACGTTCGCAATATCTGTAACAATTCGGGGAACGTATCTAACCCTGAAGTTGGATCTCGCCTTTGGTGCAAACTTGGGGAATTTTTTCTGGCCGGTCATCGCCTACGAGTCGTTCTTAGTAATCATAGGTCTGGGAACGGCGGCAGGCTTGATCAATAAAGGTTCGAAGCAGATTGTGGTAAAGACGAAGTGTGCACTGTACGACGTGATCATGCAGAGCGGGGGGTTGAGAATCGATTCGAGGATCATGAGGAGGATGATCAGAGCGAGAATGCAAATGAAGATCCGTTTCGGAAGCAATTTTGTCGAAATCTTGACCCCATTTGTAATGATGTGTTTCTGCATCAAAAGTTTGGTACGGTGTCTTCTAGTTTTATGTTGAGATTATATTTTTAGCAATAATTCCTGAATTGGGTCAAACAATTGATGAACTTGTGGCGGCACTTTTAGTCACTCAACTACTCCTCGCCACTGAAAGGGCTAACTCGTAAATAGCTCAGCGTGGTCTACGTAGGTTGTAAGGCTACGGATCAAATGTCCACACTCTCTCTAAACTTTCAACGGAATAACTATCTCTTCAACGGAATCTCCTAACTGTGGATTATCCGGTCCTTTTGACTACTAGTAAACTCCCTTTAATGTTACTTCGACGATTCAAACTCCTTGTGAAAATGAATTCCGTTGAACGCAAAACGGGCTTATTTTACTAATAATGTAGAGATTTTATTTAAAGGTACACCAATATACGCTTTACAAGACTTTATTCCTACTTGACCTAATTCTAAGAGAGGTGTGTCTCGTACCACGTATGACGATCAAATGATGATAATGCGAACAGTGCATCGAATTATATACTAGTGGTGGTCGGACGTCGTCGTAGCGGATCGAGGTCGGACGTCGTAGCACGCCTTTTCAACGGCATCATAAATATTTTCCTTATACTACAACTTATAGAAAAACTAATAGCATTTACGCCTTTAATTACTTCGAGAGCTATCTCAATTAATTACTTCTAGAGCTATATCAATTACTCCATTAATTACACAGTTATAACTTAATCTAACATTCCGTTGATTCCGTTGAATCACACATAGTTAAGCCAAACCTAACTTAACCTTTATAATATGCCGTTGAAATATAAATTCATTAACAAATTATCAAGACTATTAAATAACAACTCATTTCTATTACTCATTGGAACATAATTATCAAGAACTGGCAAACCAAGCTCAAGGAGCAAGTCAGGTCTAAATTTTTGTAGAGAATCATATTCGGCCAATTTGTACTATTTTAAATGTGACAGTAAAAACCTTCTAAATTGTAAACCACCCCCTCCACCAAGTCTATCTGCGCCCACATTATTGTCATTACCACCAACATCACACACACATCACAACCTCTCATTCCGACGCCCAAGTTTACGTTGTTTCCGCAACAGTATTAATCTATTACTGCAATTCCATTGAATTCTTCCATTGAAACTTATACTTAAAACTCACTTTTACTAAGATATATTACGTTTAAATGCCACTTGTAAACAGACAAATTATTACGACTGAAAACTATAAATTATGCTCATTCTGCCGTGACAGAACTAATTAACCAGATTATTGGCAAAAAGATATTAAAAAACAGTTGCTAAGGCCCAGGTGAATCTTTTCACGTAAAACGATTCGCTGTTCAGTTACTGACACGTGTATGTGTACAATATTCAATTTAGATGCATGAAAGAAAAGTGAAATACTGCATTAAAGTGACGTGCGACATAAGACGTCCAGTTTTATTTGTTTAATTCGGAATATGTATAACATTATCCTGTTTTGTTTGTTTGGCAAACACACTTGGCTTTTCCTACCAGAGCAAGTAATGGAACAGCACACTTGAAGTTCTTGCAGCATCCTTCTTTGGTCAGGGGCGTTACGGCCGTTCCACAATCGCACGTCCCACCTCCAGGAATACAGTCCTCCCCTGCCACACACCCCGCAAATATGACCGTCAACACCATGAAAATGACGACTGCGCGGTTTTGGTTCATCCTGGAAAGTGAGAAGTATAAAACAAGGAATGGAATTAGTAATTAATTAGCTAAATAAATACCTGACTTTCCTGCGGTTTAAATTTAGTTCAGGAAACTAAGGAAGGATGTGGTAGAAGAAGATCAAATGTAAGAATGTGTGGCCCTTAATGATGGCAGTCCTGTTTTTATACGAAACAAAAATTCCAAAAATAATGACGTGGAATACAAAAGTTTCTATTTACGTATGAGGAGAGCATTATGCAGTTTGGGATTACTTAAGCCTCGTTATAATATAATTAGTGAAAAATTAATGGCCTAATTAAATTCATATTAGGAACAGCCACAATATGCATTTCATTTTCATTTCATTCGGCCCTTTATTCAAGTGTTAAAATATATCAGTAATGGACCTGGTTTGCAATCCATGACACTATTAAGCTATTATTGTACGAACCCACATACGTACCCATCAACTGTATTATAATGATGTCATTAGTCACCGATTAAATTACTAAGAAACAGTTCTGAACTGCTAAGGCAACCCGGATGGTGGTCATCATCGTTTCAATCATATCTGTATGGCCAAGGTACATAGGACAGAATGGACCAATATAATTGGTTGTAAGAAGACAATTGTGAATATCAGTTATTGCTTTAGTTGTACATATGTACCATAAATTATTAATCCCCCAAGCATAAATAATTTGCCATGGCAAATAAATTGGTACGACCAAATATAACCAAAAATAGTTAGCAGGCCAGTTGTTAAATGAGATAACAAACATTAGTAAGTTCATCTTTAATTTTTTTATCCCGATATGGAAGTAGAAGCAAATCCCGTTTGTCGTATTGACAAATTCACGAAGGAAAGATTGCATTGAAGCGTTGTAAATTTAATCAATTTTACAATGTGACATAGTATAAATTAAAATTAAGAAAATTTAGTTTTCTCATGGAAAGGAACGATCACCTGCGTCAAACGCACACTGAGAATAATTCTATTACTATCCGGTCTACATATATGACTCTACCGCAATGGTAACGATATGCTTCAATTTCCGGAATAATTAGTTACCAGGTAGTAGTAATACTTGATTACCAAAGAGGTATTAATTAATTTCCAAATGGCAGCAACGTACCACCCCACGGTAACAACCGATATTACTATCCATTTTTGTTTTTTTTTGAGTTCATACACTTTTCTGAATCTTAATTTATATTTTTATTTATTTAAGGTTTTATTTAAAAGACACAATGTCGTATTTGCTTTAGTCTGTGAATGAAATAGATGGAGTGTAAAATCGTGGGAGATAATTAACCAGCTGATCTTCGTTGCTGGAGGGCATGCATTTAAGTCGATTTATTTCACCTGTATATTCGGATGTATTTAATGTTCCCTGTTTTTCATTTAACAACAAAACATGTCTCCTTCACCCTCTCTCCCCAATGCAAGTAAGGACTCCCTCCGCCGATGGACGTTGATCTGGCACATTGTTCAACATTCTCAAAACCACGGAACCCACCAAGACTGAATACACCCGCTGTGGTATCTCGCCTAGAAGCCGGCGAACATCACATCGTCCAATTCTAATATCTTCAAAGACGGATGATTTCCGTTTAAATGTTGAAAATGGGTACAAAATTTCCAAGAAAATGAGCCCCATAATATACACTTCTGAATCCTTCGTCTTAGTGTGCATTTCCCCCTCCGGGCTGGAATATTCCCTTAATCGGGGGCGTATGGATAAAGAATTATTATTATCGTTATGATCAATACCTTTGGAAAAACCAAAGTCACAAATTTTCCATATCATTTCCTCATTGTCGATGCGTTTGCAGATAATATTTGTAGGTTTGAGGCCTCTGTGTATAACCCTGCTTTTATTAATGGCTTCAAGCCCAGCCGCCAAGTTTGATATTATCTTGAGATCTTGAACTCGTCTACTTTCATAAGTTGGATTCTTATCCAGCCATTTGTAAGGGTGCCAGGGTCGCAAAGTTCCATCAAGATGCACATATGGGTGTATATTCCGGTCGAGCTGTATGCACTACTCTCCTCTGGCGGGAGTTCATACCAGCACCCATAGCATGCGACGACAAAGGGGGAATGGATTTCGATTAAAGTGTCAATTTCACGGAGGCCTTTTTTATATCTCAGCCCTTAATTTGTTGGCACTCGGCAACATTCATTCTTTTAACGGCATATTCGTGCCCCTTGTCGAGATCTGAAGTTTTCCACACTGTGCCGAATCCTCCCTTTCCTAATTTTTCGACGAGTTGTAATTTCTCCCAATTTGCGGGAACTAACAAAAAAATGTATCCGTTAGACATATGATTTTGGTATTGGTTTAAAACGATGTTGAGAAGAATGTTACGATTTATGTTGCGGATTGGCAGGTGCCGTGACCCATGGGGGGATGATGGATACATCTGTAGGGATAATTTGTCATCTTTACGAATTAATGCTTCAAGTGCGTTCCTCGTTGTTGGACTTTTTACGGCATTGTTGGCATGGTATCGATAGCAGAATAAAATTGTTAGTAGTATCGCCACCCAAGATACTGGTTTAGCACCATTAAAAAATATAAGCTGCGTTCAAACATTATTGAAAAAGCTTTATTTGTACATTTTTTCGTTGTACACGGGTAACACAATACAATTTTGCTCATCATTACAACCAATCTGGGTAACTATTTGTGCTAAGGTTGTGTAACTAAAGTTGGTTCGAAATGGATGAAACCATTTTGTACACTTTTTAACTCATAAAATATTGACCAGCATATTTTTGCTAATTTCTAAAAAAATTTGACTGATTTATGCAGAAATTTTTTAGTTGTTAGTAAAATATGTAGGTCAATAATTTAGTGGAATTTAATGAACCAAAAATGCATTCAGAATTGTTCCCTTTGTCCCATCCTTTTTGAGCCACCCTGTATTTAAATGTCACTGTAAATAAAATTCAGGATCTGATATTTAAATATTGCAAACTATTTACGTACAAATACTTATAAATCGTTAGCGTGTCACACATTGCTTTAAACTTATAACGGTAACAATATTTAATTTTCGCGCAATGCAATTTTATGACAGTTTTCTCAGTGAGAACAAATTTCATAGAAATTACATTTCCAGCTTTTTCATAGGTTTAAATAACTTGTCAAGATAACAATTAATTTAGTAGATTATTTTTAGTTTGACTGGTAATAAATTTTATCCCGAATTTTTTTCTTATTGCGCAGCATCAGTGTCTCCCCATACGACCAAAGGACACGACAATTGCAGTACAGCCACGGCCCTGACATTACCTGAGGTTTGTGGTAATCATATTGTCACTATTGTACAAAATCACGCGGTTACAATATGATCACCATAGTAGAGACATTTGTTATAGAAATTTGTTACAAATTTTCGAACATTCGTGATTAAAATGTTTTCTGCCCTGAGATGAATACCCTTAAACATTTAATAAGATAATTTATAAATTTTCAGATTTTAAACAACATCATGACCTTCTTGCCCATCCTACAAATTGAAACGTGCACTTTGAAATTTGAAATTTTCGCGGGACAAAATCAACGCACGGTGCAACACTTAACGCTCTCGTTACCCCTGAAAGATGACTCTCATTGCGACCAGCTATTAAAAACCATTTCCATCTTCGGCAAACAGTTGACATCTCTCAGATTAAACCTTCTTCTTGATATGGAAAGATCAACACCGCCAGATCTCAAGATACCCAATTCATTCCTAACTTCTCCCTCACTCCCTCTAGTGTTCGGACAAATCGTCACTCTCGAACTATTCCCGGATGTCGTCGATTCTACAGGAATTATCGTGCCCAAACTTACCCCAATGTTCCCCAACCTGATGAAACTAATATATTATGCAGATGGAATGTCCGCAACTGAATTTCTTTTTATAGCCCAACCTTCGCCATTTCCTAACTTGGTGTCACTCCAATATTACAATAATTCAGACCAGTGGCTGGTCGACGTTACCTTACGGAACTTCAAGACCAGAAACATTACATCTTTTTCATTTTATGTTTCCTACTCCACCATCAAGTTATTCCAACTACTAGCCCCCACTTTGGAACAAGTTTACATCATGAGTAGGTATCCTTCCGGGGGAAAATTGGAAAAAGGAGTAATTTACCATTGGAGGATTTTGAGTACATATAAATATATGCATTAGTGAAATAATCTGGTAACAAATAATCTGAAATTATTACTAAAAGATGACTTATACGTCTAATAAGTCGGATTTTTTTGAGGGTCACAGTTTACCCTTCATTTTATTCTTTAAATATTTATGAATATTTGTATGTTCGTTATGGATAAAACTTAGATAATTTAATTTTGACTTAATCTTATGTTTCATTTGAAATTGTTCTTGGAATTAAACCAACGAATTCTATGCACACTGATGTACAGATTTGTGTGTCAGTGATTTCAAATTGAGTGACCGTGGTAAGGATATTTCATTAAATAAGCAATATAACGATATACATATTTTAGCAATTATTTAGATTCTTGTTTATCATCAAGTCTATTTTAACAGATTTGTCATGCTCTGTTTTGTATTTTTTACATTCTCCATTTTAAAATTCGCTACCCAAATAACCTTTAGTCTGAAGAAGATCAAGAAGTGTAAGTTTAAGTAATGTTGCATATTAATTGTAAACTTAACAGTAAATAGAATAATGAAAGAGTGTTTTTCCCTCGTTTTACATGCTCATCTCTATAGTTCTTCCCTTTGTATTATTGTTTAAAGCAAAATATTGTGCTTAAATATTATTTAATATTAATGCTACCGATGTAGTAAATAATACGTAAATTCATTAAATTCATTCATAATAATAATACGATATACAATAGAGATATTCTCGTTTAATGGTTTTATTACACGATTCACTTCTACACTCAACTAACATATTTTACGTCTCATTTATAATAATCCTTTTTTAATAGTTTCATCTCTAGATTTACGCATCAACTCCAACCAATACTATTATGAAGACAAGAATTTAATCTGCCTTGATTAACGTCAATTAAAAGAACGACAGACACTTCTTCTCATAAAATCAATTACAAAACTATATTAATTCGTTATTTAGACAAAAGCCGGTCTTCCAACAAAATCCTTCCCAACAAGCCATTCACAGGTACCTGTGTTCATAAACACATACACGATTTTAGTGCC